CAGAGTCCTGCAATGTAGGAAGTTCTGGGGGTTGTAGTCCCAACACGAGGCTAGAGTTTGAGTTACTTGTTGCGATTGAACAGACCACTTGTTCTCTTTCTGTGTGTATGCATCTTCCTGAACAATGTACAAAGCAAAAATTTTAGCTGCCATTTATTTGTTTTGCTATTTGGTTGTCATTTGCCACCCCCAATCCACTCCCACCCCCACCCACTTTAAATGGAAAAAATGAGATTAAGTTAGTCTTTGTACATTGCTGTCAAAATAACTTGTTTTTCCTTCTCTGTCACCAACTTTCTCTTTTTAATGTTTTACTTTAGTTATTTTTAAAATGTGGGAACTGTTCATTTTGGTTCCCATGAGTCTTTTTAAAGGCAGACGAATCTAAATCCATCTTGTATCGTGATGGGAGAAATCTGTAGGTTTTGTAGTTCTTTTTTATCTATGTACACTGTTTCCATAGAAACACTATAAATAGTATAAATTTAAATTGTGATGTCCAAAGCAACAATTCGGTAGAGATTTTCCCCCCTTTCAAAAATAATTTTCTAAGATAACAATCTGTAGGATATGGATGACAACAAATTATATCTTGTTCAAACATTGGATTCTGTTTTTCATATATCATAGCCTCAGATATTTTATGAAAGGCCAGTTAAAATTAAATTCTGGAATTTTAAAACGTATATTTGGATTATAAATACTAATGTAAAAAGGCTGTCCTCAGTGAATCTTTTACTGCTAACTTATTTAACTAGCAAAAGGGATGTTTAGTGATTGAAATACCTGTGTGTTTGCAGTGACATGAGGCTGGTTCACAAGAGAAATTAAATTATTCAATAATATTTGTATTCATGATAGGGTTGAGAATACTATAACATAGAATCATCCTTAATCTATATTGCATATATGGTATTGTTGTCACATATTACTAATCTGATGCAGGAAGAGCTACCGCTGCACCATAGAGAGCATTTTAACATACTGCACCTCTGTATGGTTTGCCAATTGCACAGTGGCAGATAGGAAAGCACTCCAGAGGGTTAATGTCATTGCCCAGAAGATCATTGGTTGCCCTCTCCCCTCTTTGGAAGAGCTTTATAGCTCCTCTGCCTTAAGACAGTTCAAAACATTCTCAAAGATCCATCTCATCCTGGGAACCCTCTTTTTCAACTATTGCCATCTGGCAGACAGTACAGAATAATGAAAACAAGGACAAATAGGCTGAAAAACAGCTTCTATCCCAGGGCAGTAGCTCTTTTGAATTCTGCTGTATAGTGCAGTGTTGGTGTAATGCCGGGGATTTTTGGTTCAATGTGTGAAGGGTGAATATGTGTTTATTTTCATGGTCATGGTCATGATGTGCACTGAAGGTAGTGTTTCATTTCGTTGTACGAGGTGCAATGATAAAACTAAACTAAACTAAACTAAACTAAACTAAACTAAACTAAACTAAACTAAACTAAACT